AGACAAAAATAAAATAAAAATTAGAAAATTAAAACCTATTCGTAAATTGCACGAACTTTGGTAATAAAAACAAGAATAAAAATCAGTGCTTAAAAAAAAAAAAAAAAAAAAAAGACAAAAAGAAATTTAAATTTAAAATTTATATAAAAATGATCTAAGGACAAAAAATGTTTCGAAAAACATTTTGACAACAAATAAATAATTGATTCGTTAATATTAATTTTCAATGAAAGATAAGCACCAAAAAAAAAAAAAAATTATTTAATATATAATATATATTTTTCTTCTACTTTCGGAGTTCGGTTATTTCTTTTGTAATTTTTTTTTTTCTTTTTCTACATTGAGAAAAAAAAACCCGACAACAACCGACAACAACAGCAACAACAACAACAACAACAGGAAAACAAAAAATTAGAAATAAAAAATATGGAAAACCATTCTCGATCATAGTTTCACATTTTTTCTCTTTCATATGTGAAAGAATATTTTATATATATATAAATAAATTATTTTATTTAATCAAGTTCGAATAAAATTGCGCGAACGAGCGCGTTCGAACATAATTTTATTTATTTATATATATATATTTATTTATTTATTTATTTATACCGATCGAGACGAGTTAGAATATTATATCGAGAGATTAATTAATTTATATTTACTTCTAAACGCGACGAAATATATTACATCGTTTCTGTTTCTTTCTTTCTTTATTTTATATACACATGTATATATTTTTTTTAAATATATATATATGTATATATTTATTTATATATTTATATTTAATACTTCTGACATTCCGAGTATTATATACACAATTATTTCGAATAAATTCGATCTCTATTACATTAATAATAACAAGATCATTATCATTTTCTCTTCAAATGTCATATATATATATATATATTTATTTATTAATTAATTCCCCAATTTTGTCTCTTGTATAAATTAATTTAATTAATTAATTATAATATACAAGAATGTTTGTCAAAACATGTAAGTCTCAGTTTCATTTGAAAACAATGAAAACAAATTTTTACAAAACTTCTCATCCACGCATGACACATTTGTTTCATTGCATTTTATTTTTGTTCATATTTTATGAAAATTTATCTGACATATTTATGAGACACCATGTATATTGCAAACAATTGTATATTTAGAAAATTTGATAAACATCCGTTCTATGCAATAAAAAAAACAAAACGCAATACTTTCGTTAATTGCTTGCTACTCGTGTTTTCTTCTTCTTTATTTCTTTTTTTTTTTATTTGTTTATTTATTTTTAGTTTATCATCTTTCATGTGTGTATGTATGTATGTGTATTCGTATTCGTGTGTAGTAACTGCAATTAAGAACAGTAACTCGTACCCAAGCACGTTTAACCGTATTATTCAAAATGATTCTCATTGATCTAGAATTATACGAAGTATAATATTTATTTATTTATTTATTTATTTATTTAATTAATTATTTATTTATTTATTTTAATGTGCAAGAGATCACGAAAACGTTCCCCAGCACTTATCAAATATATTTCATATTTTTTTGTTTTGTTATTTTTCTTCAGCGTTCTAAGTTCTTTCGTGTTTTTTTTTTCTTTGTCCTCTTGAAATATTTATAAAAAACAAGTAAATATTTTAATTACAAATATTATTATTATTATATCCCTTACCTTTTTCTTCTCACATCTTTTTTTTTTCTCTCTTTTTTTTTTCCTTTCTAAATATCACTTCGAATGTTATTGACTAAATTCCGAAGGATTCGTATTTATTATTATTATTATTATTATTATTATTAATATTAATTTTATTTTTATTATAATTATTATTAATAATATTTTCTTTTTATCTGTTATTCTTTAAGGCTTCTTACAAGTATTTACAATACTATCATACCTTTATTTTAATCATTATTATATTCCTCTTATTTATATACATATATATATATATATATGTATGCGTGTGTATTTATTAATTGGAATATGTTTTGTTTAATTGTAATAATCGAATGATAATTAATTTGAGTATATTTTTCACGTATCTGTATGTATTATGTATGTGTGTTGCATGTGTGTATTAATATACATACATATATACATATATATATGTATATAATTAATAAGAGGTATGTATGTACTATATACAGAAAAAAAAATGAATCATGTTAGTTTCATTAGTGTTTGAAATCACGTGTGTGCGTGAGTGTATTCTTGGTCGATAATCATCGTCGTATCGGTCAACCTTTTCGTCATACGTCATTAAATATTAATTAGAAGAAAAAATCATGGTTTACAACGCCATTTTGAATAAATATACGTCGTACAAGATCGAGATCATTTCGAGAATGATAAGCAATATATTATTATTATTATTATTATTATTATTATTAATATTAGTATTATTATTATTATTATTATTTAGATCTCGATTTAATAATCTAATTATAATCAATCATTTTCTCTTTAATTAATTATTATTTATTAATCCTAGCTATACGGATTATTTATCTGCCATTTTTGTTGTTCATTCATAATGTTCGTTTAATGTTCAAAAATTTATTTATTTATTTAATTGAAATGATTTTCATCAGTAAAAATAATTTTTATACAAGCGTATGAATAATTTATCATTATTAATATAATAAACAAAGTATCTATAATTATATGTTTTTTTTTTTTTTTTAATTAATTTTATAATTGAAACAATTATTACACATGCACGTAATTTATTATTAATACTAAACGTATCTAAAGAACAATTCAATTTGTTTTTATCAAATATTTATTGAAATTTTGTAATAAGTATTAAAACTATTTAATTTAACAACAATTGTAATTTTTCTATTAAATATTAACATTGTTTTTTTTTTTTTTTTTTAAATTATTTTCATGATCTATAAATTTTTACTTTCAAAACTCTAAAACATTTATCAATTTATCAGCATAAATTATTATTATTATTATTAATAAGTTTAGTGTTAGCATGAATATTTGTACTTGCGTAAATTTTTGCTATTCTTTTAAAGAATAAAAATATACAAAAAAAAAAAAATAAATAAATAAACCGTATAACTAGGTATAATTAAATATTCGTAAGAAGAAGAAGAAAGACCGTATTTATAAATGAACGCATATTTTATTGGGCTAAACGACGATTGAAAATCGCATAATAGGAAGAAATGTGGCCCCGGTAGCATGATAGATAAATAGGTGCGGGTCGCAATTAGGTTTTATTATTATAGCGTGCACACTGAACGACCGAGCCTGTATAAGGGGACTGTGCTACTACGAAAACGCTGTGAATACAATATGTGTGGCCGCCATAGATATTATACAGATAATTCAGATGAATTGATAAATAAATGAATGAAAACAACAAATTTGAAAGAAAACTAACAAGTGTGTTGATAAAAATGAACAAAATTTCCGTGTATATTTATTAATGAAAATGATTATAAATAATTAATAAAATATAAATATGAAGATAACCTATAAGTACAAATTCAAATGAATTTTGAATATAAATTATTTACAACTGATAATTAATATTTTAACAAATTTATCTAATGTAAGATTAGTTCAAATCATTTTGATTAAATATCTATTACAATCAATAAATTTATAAATAAATTATATTAACATTTTGCAATAGAATGAAATTTGATTGATCAAAAACCAAAACAAAAAAGTATTTTTCTATACAAAAATTTGTGTTGAATTTTATTTTATTAAAAAAAAAAAAAAATAGAATTGTACAAAATATCGAAATTTATATAATAAATAAATAAATAAATAAATAAAAAGATGAGAAGAAAAATAATCTCGATTAGATCTCGATCGGATGACACACATCAATGATGAAATTAAATACACGAGTTTGTTTGTTTTTTTTTTTTCTAATAGTCGACGATGATATCGATATACAATGTATAGATGTATTCGAACGATTATTTTTTATCGAATGATGTGGGGTGGGCTATGGTTTGGAGTGGTGTGGGTGGTAAAGTGAACAAAATGAGCCATGGAATGATCCTATTGAAAAACATATACGTTTAAATTCGTACATAATTTCATATTTTGTATTCGGCTCGGTTGATTATCGGCGAATTGTTACAATTTATACATACACATAACATACATACATACATATACAAATATATAAATGTATGTATATATTCATAATAATGAATTATAATAAAACGATCAAAAAAACTAAATAAAATAATTATGAATTTAATATCATCAAAATTATTGTAATCAAATGATTAATAATACATGTATACTTTAATACATTTACATGTATAATTAAAATATAATTATATTAAAATATTTAATGTATTATTCGATCAAACGAATCAATTTAATTAATCATCTTGTCATATTATTTTATATTAAATTATTATTATTATTATTATTATTATTACGTAATACATACATACGTATATTTTCATAAGTATGTATATATGTATGTGTATGTTTCAACGTAGTTTGATGTAAAATCAAAATTCGTTTGGAATAAATAAAATTAGCGTAAAGGTAGTAGCATTTTTAGAATTTTGTTAGATGATGTAGAAAAATCGTTGACAATGTGACAGTGAAAAATGTAGAAAGATAACAAAAATTCGAAATAGAGAGAGAGAGAGAGAGAAAGAGAAAGAATCGGCCCACTCCCCACGTGCTTCGGACGTTCGGTTAGCTCGTAGAGAATGTTATTTTTTTATTATAATTATTACTTTGTTATTTTATTTGTGTTTGTGTAAATTAGTTTTTGTTTTATATTCTTCTTCTCGTTTGATTACTCAAGTGTTCTTTATATATATATATACGTATACATATACACATATACATATACATATAAATAATCATCTCATGTGTTCGTTTTATTAAACAATTTTGTGTGTTTTTTGTATTATATTTGTTTTAAATAGCGCGAACAGAGGGTGGGGGTGGGGGGTGTAGGGTAGTTGTGTATTTTTGTTAATATTTTTTTTGGTTTTGTTTTGTTTTTTGTTTTATCCATTAGCGACCCCAACACACAATTAAAGGGCGGTGGTGCGCAGGTAGGGACAGCGCTGTAGCGACAGGCCCCGGGGCCCCAGCTCCTAAATGGCGTTAAGTGCACGCGAGTCTTGCTGTTGGCGACGTCTCGATGCACCTCCATAATTGTCAACGTATGATTCCTCTTCTGTACCATAATCATGATCACTACGATCCAATCGGTCACGATCCATCCTTTCCAAACGTGATCTTCTTGTACCACCACCACTCATGTGTCCGCTTCCACTATACGATCCTGAACCTGTGTTTTAAGATTTGGGAATATTTTTTTTCTTTTTTTTTTTTTTTGATGAATATTATTAATAATAATAAAATATATATGTATGTCATTTGTTTGATTAGATTTTGGTGAAGTGTTCGTTTTTTTTCTTTCTTTTTGGGGGGATGGTTTTTTACTTTTTTTTTTTAATTTTGTATCAAAGATCCATGCTTTAGGGTTGTTCTGAACATTTTTAAATGGTGTAATTGTTGCATGTGTGATTATTAAAAATCTTGTTTATCTAAAGAAAGGATTGAATGTAATTAATTCGAGATATATTTGAGGTTATGTTTATGATCGAGTGAAAATTGTTTCTAATACATTTCTATAATTAATAATTATTCATTTTAAATATATTGGAATAGATTTGGTGAAATAAAATATCCCTAGCACGTGGATCTTTGAGAATAAAAAAAAAAAAATTATAAAAAGATATAAGAAAATATTAAAAAGCATTAAGTAAAAAAAAGAAAAAAGAAAATGAAAAACAAATTCGTTAGAAAAATCATACGAAAAGTTGTACCAACAAAGGGATCAGTGTAAATAATTATTTGCAGTAAAATAATATCATGCTACCAATACTGTAAAACAAACAATCAATCATGCGTATTTTGCAAAGAACATGCGTGAGTGCTTAGCAAGCTAGAAAATAATATAAAACATAAACAATAAAAAAAAAAAAAGGAAAGACAAAAAACATTAGCAAAAATTGTTATTGTTTGTAAATATTATCATTGGATAAAAAAGTGCGAGTGAACATTTAAATATATAATATATATGTATGTAAATATAAATACATATTTTTTTGTCAAAATCACATTTTTCTTATCTCGCAGAGACTCCGACGTTCGAAGTTATAATAATAATAATAATAATAATAATAATAATAATAATTAAATTCTCAATCTAATAAGAAAAAAAAAAAATAAATCGACGAATACAATCAAACGAGCCACGTTTGAATGAAAACGAAAGAACAAAATAAAACAAAATGGACAATTGAAATAATAAAAGAACACAACAAAACGAAATAAATCATATCGATTAGGCTAATCAACGTTTCGTTAATATCTAAAGTTAAAAACTAATCTACAATTTCCTATTCTATGTGAATAATTGCGAAACGTGGATTTTGCGAGACAAACGATTAAGAAAATTGAGGTTAGGATCGGGTAATTTTCGAGTTATCGAAAAAAGAACAACAACAAAATAAAAATGTATGACCATCATAGTGTGGTAATTGAAATAAAACAAATGTTTTTTTTTTTTTTATAAAGAAAATAAAAGAAGATTAAAAATAATTTGAAAAATCTGTCAAATTTGACGTAGAAAAAAATAATGGTGAGGTAGGTTGGGGATGTAGATTATAAAATAACTAAGAAATTAAATCACCGGGTAAATAAATCACTATATTGATAATTTATTCTCTCTTTCACTCTCTCTCTCTTTCATTCTCTCATTCTTTCACTCTTTCTCTTTCTCTCTCTTTTTCTAATTTTTGGGCCCATGCACCAAAACCCAAATTCAGGGTGTACTTACAACGCGGCCCTTTGATTAAGTAGACTTTTCCCTAATCACAGATAATATTTGTTTGTTTTTTTTTTTTTTCATTTTAACTCCCCTCTCTCTCTCTCTCTCTCTCTTTGTGTTTTTCCCATATTTTCTTTCTGTTTAAAAATCATGAAGTTTAGCATCCATGTTTGATAAGAATGATGAAGATTAACGAAGAAGAACGAAGAATAACGAATTTGAAGAGAGAAGAAAATTCAGAAGGGGGGGTGTTCTGGTCTGTGTCTCTTTAATTCGATTTTGTTGGATTTGAAACTTTGAAATTGTTGGATTTTTCATCAGTTTTGACCGGTCGTGCTGAGCCGGCCCTGTTTACGGATGACCCCAGTCGCAGCAACCGCCTCCACAATCGCTTTTAGGACAAAGATAAATAAAACAGAGAACATCGGAGTCAGAGCTTTCGTGAGATTTGTTTTCCCCCAATTTTTTTTTTTTTTGTATTTTAGTTTTTTCTTTTTTTGATAAATCTTTCATATATTTTTTGGTTTTTTTTTCTTTTCTCGTTAGATTAATCCCTCATTCCCTTTCCCCCCACCCAAACCCAATTAAATTTTCCACCATTTTTTCGTAGGAAAATATTTTTAATTGGTTATGTTAGCAAAATGAGTTTTGAAATATTTTTTTTTTCCATTGCTTTTGTGTTTTTTTGTCGTCGTTTTTTTTTTATCTGTTTTAAATATGATTCAGTTGTTTTTTTTTTTTTATTATTATTTACTTAGAGACCATTAAGGATTAATATTTGAAACAATTAACAATATGGGTTCAATGTAGTTCATTTTGTTTTTGTTTTTATACGCGCGTGCGCATCACAGCTATGATTTGTGCGTGTTAATATGGCGTTGCTCTGGGAACACGTGTGGACTTATTAAAGATGATGATGATGATGATGATGATGATGATGATGTATGTTGCTTTGAATTTTTTTTATTTATTTATGAAACAATTCAGTAAATTCGTATAAAATTGTACTCTACAATATAATCATTGTTTTATATGAAATGAAATTAAAATTTAAATTTAAACTCTTGTTATTGTAAAATAATTTTTTGATATAAATATTGATTGATATTATTTGTTTATAATTTATGTAAAATAAACAATTATTATTAACGCGTTTATTATTAATTATTAACAATTTATTCGTATACTTTTTTTTTTGTACGAATTTTCTGAACAAAGTTGCATTATCGAATGAAATGAAATAAACTCGAGATGAAATATTCCCTCAGAGAAAAAAAAAAAAAATAAAAAATACCGAACGATTTTGCACGATTTGGATAATTCGATACTTTTGTTTATAAAAATACAAAAAAGAAATAAACTCTTTAAATCCACTCGTGTGTCCGTGTGAGCCTATAGACAAGTAGTAGAGAGCTTTTGTAACGTGCACGAGAGAGGTTTTGTTTGTTAAGCTGCTTTTATATTTATTTTTCAGTTGTTTTTTGTTTTTCATTTTTATATTTTATATTTTAAAACAGATTTAACATTTTCTATATGTATGTATAAATATGTATATAACAGTTGTAATATAATTAATAATAATTATTACGTGATCTTCGTTAATTTAATTTGAACAAAATAAAATAAAATAAAATATCAAAATAATTTCTGTTTAAACAAATTGAAAAAATAATTATTAAAACAAACAAACAGTTAAATTATCGAGAAAATATTTTACCAAAAATTGTATTTAAACAAAAAGTGTTTAATAAAAATATGAAAAAAAAATTGTGATTTGATTTGAGTAGAAAAAAACAATTGATTTCTGTTCGTATTATATTTGGAGAACGAAAAATTTAAATAATATTGCAAAATAAAAAAAAATTAAAAAAAAAACATTAAAGAAGATTGAAAATAAATGTTTCATTTTTTTTTGGTTCCTTTTTTTTTTTTGTTAAAGAACAAAAATTAAATGAGAAGAAGGTCATCTAGGCTCGTTGTCACTATCTCTCTCATACTGCAATGGATACACGTTTGTTGTTGCATAAAATGTTGCTGAAAACAAAAACAAAAAAATATGGAAAAAAAATCAACAAAACTATCACGTGAACGAATAATAAAAATAAAATACAAAATTATTCGATGATGGGCTCTTTAAATACGACTCGACGATTATTTACGTCATCAAGCAGTGTAAATCACTATACTTGTCAAAAATATAAACAATGTTGTTGCTAACAAAAATTAGCAATCTTCGTAAAAAGAATTCTATACAATATTCCCTAATTATTTTTAAACAATTTTAAGATAAAAATTTAATCCCTGAACAAACAATTGAAAAAATATTGGTAATTTTCAAAAATAATTGTCCTATTTTTATCTTATTTACAATGTTCGAGTTTATCCTGTATATAAATGTATCTGTATATGTGTGTGTGTGAGTGCTTAAGTTTGTATTTGTATTTCCATACGTGCTACTAAATACATAGAATATAAACATGCATCTACTATACCGACATAATCAAATGACAGGTGTATCATTTTATTTTATTTTTTGATTGGTAACATAAAAAAGGAAACAATAAAAAAGAAAACTTCAACATCGAAAGCGTATACGATTGGAATAAAAATATTTAAAAAACAAAACAAAAAAATAGATTAGAAGAAAAATCAAGTAACGTTGACGTAAATAAAAACGTTCATTGAAAAATAAAAAATAGAAAATAAAAATGCATCTCTTTTTTGTCCAAGCTCATTCATAATTCATTGTCATATCCAATTAAGTGATTGGAACGTTCTTTTTTTCCAAAATAAAAATAAAAAACCTTCAAAAAAATAGAAATAAGTAAACGCAAAAGTGAAAATACGAGTACAACGATAATCAACAATAATTTTGTCGAACCTGAATAATTAATTGAAAAACAAAACAAAACAAAACAAAAAAAAATAGGTCTATAATAACAAATGAAATAAATAAATAAATAAAAGAGAAAATAAAATAATAAAAATAGAATGAAAATATCTAAAATGTGCGGTGCATGCGCATACGTTTGTAGAAGAATCCAATTGCGTGCATTTGATGATAATAAATGGTACGATGAAATTACTATGTTTTTTTTTCTTTTTACATTATTATTATTATTATAAAAAAAATATGTTACCGAAATAAAAAAAAAAAAACATTACAGCAAAGGTATTTTTGAAGAAGAAAAAAATAAAAAAAAAAAATAAAGAAAGTAATAAATGACAGATAAAAAAGAAAAAAAAAACAAAAGTAGAAACAGGGTTGTGACTGAAGGAAAGTGACTGAGAGAAAAGGGACAGAAAAAAGGGAATGGGTTTTTAGGATGTAGCGATGATGCGCTCGAAGGGAAAAGGGTTAAAGTTACCTCTTGGCTCGTGGCCGTAGTAACTCTCGTGATGGGCACCTGAAGGACCAAGAAGAAAGTGTCGAGTGTTAGTAGACCGGAATTTGGGTCTCGTTAGAATTTTCTAGTGGACTATATAGATATGCATATTAATAATTAATTAAAAAAAAAAAAGAAGATAAAAAGACAAGAAAAAAAAAGATAATTTGCCAAAGATCAAAGGGTAGAGGACAAAAAAAAATAAGAGGCTCTTGGAAAGTAGGAATTTTGATAAGAAAGGAAGGAGGAAAGGGATTTTAGGGGGTAACACGTGGTTTGAAAATTTTTCACGAGAGTATAATTACTTTTTTTTTTTTTTACTAATTATAGATTATAGTTTTTAATTTTTTTATTTTTTATTTTTTTTATATTTTATACTTTAAAACACGCTCGAGTTTATTTCGTAGGGTTGACTGTACAACATTTTATTTATAATATAATAATATATTTATTTTTTTTGTAATATCTATATATAATTATAAATATAATTTTGTTAATACATATATAGATATATTTTACACATAAATAATAGGAAAATTAATTGAACAATTTGATATTAAATCAACTAATGTTCAATACAACATAATTCGTAAAATAAATTCGAGCGTATTTTTTGTTTGTTTAAGATAATAAAAAAAAAAACTAGTAAAAAAGAAGGAAAGAATAAAGATAGGTATAAAAAATAAATGATACCTGGTGTAACTCGAGGAGTTAAGGCATCAACAGGTGCATCAGGTGCTGGCATTGCACGTGGTATTGCAGCAACAACAGGAGGATGGGTTGCTCTCCAATAAGCTTCGAGATATTCGGCAACGTGTTCACAGGCATCTTCCAATTGATTTTCATCTAATATTACGTCGAACATTTCTGGGGGACATTGTGCTAATTTTTCTGCTGCTACCATTTGAACATTTAAATGCCTTATCTGTGATTTGCCACGTGTTTTGATCAACCTTTGTAAGACTTTGGGAGATGAGATTTTCAAATAAACGATCGTTGGCGCCAAACTCGTTTTAGCCAATTGCGATGGGTGATTTATCGTGTCACAATCCAGGACTACCAACTGAAATGATCATTTTAGAAAATTGTAACTTGTTCTTAAAATAGTAACATTTTTTTTATGTTCAATGATTCAAAATTGGTAAACATGAATGCATGAGCTTGAGGTTATGTTTAAGTATAACATGAATGCATGAGTTTGAGGTTATGTTTAAATATTATTTGATTGCTTTAGAATCAAGATTAAATGATATTGTTATTAAAAATTAAAAGATGGATATATTAAATGTAATTAACCTGAAGTGTCCTGGCCAGTTCGAAGATCCTCTCGATCTCGGTTTGAACTTCTGCCAAACAACTACTTCTACTTGTCGATCTTTCCATGATCGCTCTTTTAGTAGGATTGTTTAATAATGATCTCTTTGCTAACGAGATATCAGCCATCACCCTTGTTATAATAATCCTATAAACAAAATACAAATGAATTATACGAACAACACATTTACAACGATACCCCATTTCCCGCCAAAAAAAAAACAATTAGGTTAGTTCTACATCTTACTTTCTAGTGAATTTTTTTTAGAATTTCAATTATGCAATGGGGTTTCCCAAAATTTTTATTATTCATTTGTTAGAAGAAACAATATAAAACACCATAGAGTTGTATTCAATTATTTGCATAAACTTTTTTAAACACCTGAATAAATTTGATTAAATAAATTTTTGTTTACCTTCCTTCGAATCGGTGTTTCAAAAAATCGAAAAGTGCTTTCTGCATCATGTCAGTAACTTGGTAACCCTTTAGAGAAGGTCCAACTAGGACAACAGGCCTCATTGAAGGTACAACGTCGTATGGTGTTGTGGTTTCCTAAAAAAAAGTAATAAAATTTGTTATAACAATGTTTTTCAATCTCTGTCAAAAATCAAATAACTAATAGAAACTTAATCATTTCTAGGGATTTTGATATAGGGGAAAATTTTCAAAGTTCATAAAATTACCGGTTTCTTGAAGAAATTCTTTCGTTTTTCTTTGGCAGGTGGTGTTGTCAAGGTAGGTTTCCCAGGTCTCACGTTACCAACGCTGTCGTTATCGTCACCTAATTGAAAAAAAAAAAAGAAAAAAAAAAGAAAAACAAAAAATCAAACCAACTTTTCTTTAAAAATGCACACTCAATGATTAATTCTAATATTTTTTCTTTTCTTTTCTTTTCTTTCTTTTTTTGTTTCTTCACTAGGAGGAGTTTTGTGATCCTCCATTTGAAAAAAAAAAAAAGAAAAGAAAAGAAAAAATATATCAACTATAAATATAAAAATAAAGCCTTTAAAAACGCTTGCTTGCTCGGGTGCAATAACTATACCTAAATTCATCATACGCTCGCTAAATTCATAGCAGCAAACTACCAAGATTCATCTACAGCAAATTTTCAATGCTAAAAAATGATCGCGAGTGTGTTTGGTTTTAGAATTTTTTTTTTATTTTGTGTTAACAGGTTGTGGTTCACGTGTACGTATACATGTACTATTTATATATGTGTGTGTATGTTTGTGTAATTTGTTTTAATGTAAATGTTTCAATAATGTGAAAGTTAGGTGCCTAAATTCAAGCCTGGTAATTGAATTCGATCGGTGCTATGAAAAAGCTGATTTATTTGATCGATTGATGATTTACCCCTACCCCACCCCACCTCACAAAATAATAATAATAATTAAAATGAAATAATTCAATCGTTTTGATTGATTCAGAATCCAATGAATGAGTTCGTAACATTCCAATGATCATGCAATAATCGATTACTAGATTCTTGATGAATTATTGTTTATTTGTTTATAATTTTTTATTTTTGTTTTGTTTTGTTTTTTATTATTATTAGTGCCAGATGAAGATAGTCACGATTTGCAAGGAAAGAAAGCATCTAATTTTAAAATAAAAAATATAAATAAGTAGGAATTGAAACACAATAACTTTGTGTGTTTGTATTTATGTGTATGTGCAGGCTTTAAATGTGTATATATATATATATGTGTTGATAATAACAAAGCCACCATTGCACGTGGAAAAATATTTTAAACGTAATATCTGTTTATTTTTGTGAAAATATAGAAAAAGAAATTAAACCGTGGCAGGGGGTGTAGAGGGGGAAGTAAAGAGATTAAGGATTAAATAAATAAAATCAATAACAATAATAATCATGTGTGAAAACGCGTGTGGTGTGATGTGTGTGTGTGTGTGTGTATGTATGTTTGACTAATTCTATAAAGTGTTCAAATTTTAAGGGTGTGTTAGTTTTTATGGTTTAAAAAAAAAAAATAGAAAAAAAAGAATAGAGTAATATAAACAAACAAAAAGATACGTATTTGATAATTGATAAATAATTAATATAATACTTAGGATATTTTTCTCTTTCATTTCTGTTTAACATTTTTGTTTCTCTCACTCTTTCTGTTTCCCTCTCTCCTTTTTTTCTTTCAGTTTTATTTTTCATCGGCATGTTTCTTTCTCACTGTTATTGGTCACGAAATAAGAAAATCGAAGAAGAAAAATAAAAAAAAAACAAACGTGTTGCTTTTTAAAGGACGGTGGTTTCCCCCCCAGCCCACCTCATCCAATCCCGGTTTTAATCATCAAATTTTCAAGGTTGCTCATCTGAATAATAATTTCTCCAGTCCTTCAGTTTGAAAAAATAATGATAAATAAACATATATTTTTTGAATAAAAAAATAAAGTAAAACCGTGAGAAAAAATTAGTACAGATTTAAGCACACCCGTTAGATATAAGACCGTGGATTTTCAGGGAGTGGGGGGGAATGAAAGAAGGACGTGCTAGGATACCTGGTGTAGGTGGCGTGGAACCACGTGAAGGCATACCACTCTCGCCAAGGTTCCCTGAAGACCCTCCTCCTCGTGCTGAATAAAGGCCCTTAGTACCACGTGCTGCGCTAGCCTGCAATCTCAGTGCCTCTAATTTCACCGGGGATGGTATAAAACCCACGTCACAATTTTCTTTCACCAGTCTCCCGATCCACCAGTTGTTGTCATACTTTTCCTTTAAATTTTATTTTCGATTTTTTTTTTTAACAAGTTTTTAATCATTTATCATAATAATAAGTTTATTTTTCATTTTGTTTTCTTTTGTGGTTCCTGTTTATTTGATTATTGTGATACAATTAATTCCGAAAAATGTGTTTTTATTCGTTCATTATAACCCTTTGAATGATATGGGCGCATATATGCGCCCTACGAATGCAAGCAGTTATTGATTGAAGACGCATATATACGCTCGCCAATTTTTTTTCATATTATCTTGAAATATTTTTCTTTCTTTTTTTAATTTTTTTTTTTTAGTTTTATTTATTTAATAAAAATAGAAAAATCATATTCGTGATTATTGCAATCGTTTGGAGAGTAATTAAAACATTCAAATGGTTAAATAATTTCTACCGGTTAGTGTTCCTTTTTTTTCTGGCAACAGTTTCATCCATTAATGTCAAAAATATATATGGAATATAATTTATCTAAGATCTATTTTAATATTTGGTAAATAGATAAATTAGTTGGTTAAATTTAAATATTAGGAAATATATTTTTAGGAATTAAGTGTATCAATAATTATGATGGATTGAGTCAACGAATAGATCAAATTAATTTTAATATTTATTTGACAATATTAATTTAATTATTAATTATACAATGAGAAATTGTTTTAATACAATAATAATTTATCATTATTTATTTATAAAATATCGTGTGTGTACTATTATAATGTGTCTGTCATGTTACGTGTGTTTCATTTTGTTGGTTTCTTTTTTTTTTTTTTTTTTTAAACGAAACGATTCGAATCATTTGTTTTAAACTATTTGCAATAATATCTGTCTGCTTTCTTTTTCTTTTCTTTTCTTTCGTTTTCTTTTTTGTGAAGAAATAAGAAAGATGAAAAAGTAAGGATTAAAGGAACGAAACGTGGAATTCTGCCAAAATCGATTTCAAACGTTCCTTTTACTCCTTATTCCTATTTCTAGACGTAAGAAAATCATTATCTATTTCGATAAATTTGCTAAACTAAATTATGTTAGTCAGAAACTGGAAATATAATATTCTTGTCTAACGTTTAAATAATATTTTGCAATTTATTATTAGAAAATAAATTAATAACGATTTTGACAGATAATTTCCTCTTCCTGTGTTGTTTTCTATTCATTTTCTTGTTCACAAATAAATATGATGAATATCTATCGATGATTAATGAATAAATTAATTTTCTCTAATGTTTAAAAAAAAAAAAAAAACACCTACACATTTAGTTAGAATTAGATGACAACTCAAAAAAAAAAAAAAAAGAAAAATCGATGTAACTTTAAACAACAACATTTATCTTACGAGTGTATTTTACGATGAATCAAATTCGAAATTTAGAAAATCGATCATCATCTAATTATTTCTAATTTCATCTAATTATTTAATAAAATACAAAAATGTGAATAACAATTACATATCAACGAAATAATCTTCCTATACGTCTAACACATTTAAATTTCAATCAATTTTCGATAATACGATGAATCAAATTAAAATGATTGGCGTGGGAAGGTGGTGAATAAAAACAAAAATACAAAAATAAAAAAGAAACACATAAATAATTATTTCTAATAATAAATATTTGATATCAAAATTTACCTTAATGTGTAAAAATTCCCGGACCTCGAAACTAACGGCAGAACCATGAACAGGTGAATCATCGTCAGCGGAACCGTCATAGCTGACGTTTGTCCGCACTGCGAATGCTACCGGTTTCGTCTGCAAAAAAAAAAATCAAATCAATTCATGCACACACACAAACACACACATATATACACATATGTAATAAGAAGTTTTATCTAACGAAATGCAAAGAAAAAAAAAACTAATCCATAAACTAAAAAAAAAAGAGAGGTTAGAATTGTGGTAGAGGTGGTGGTGGTTTGTATTAAAAATCGCATGACTTTCGTACATTAAATCTACATCCATCAGCATGACACAGTATCCATTAGATCTAATTGTAAATTAGACGATTACCATGCTACCACGATTTTCTATGCATAATCTATATACATATATCATAATAAATCGTGATAACAATTTATCAAAATGACAAAACGTTTAGTTGTTTTACTTGCTTTATTGTTTGATAATGAAAAAATTTGAATGAAAAAATTGAATGAAAAATTTGTCCTCGTTTGTTTTTTTTTATCTCTTTTTATTTATATTCAGTTAATTTTCGTATAATGTGTTCAAAAGTGTTTACCTACTGTTGGTAATTTATGTTTTTTATTTTCATTTAATTAAAAGTTTTCGTAATGGACGGTAACGAGTAGGAGCTTTCGTGGTCTTTCATTCAATAATGTTGAATTTTTAATAGAATTATTGTCTAATAATTTTTGTTATAAGTTAATTTTAATTAATATTGATAAAAGAATATTTTCATAAAAAGAAGAAAAGGAATTTTATATATTTATAATTGAATTTATATTATTATTTATAATTCTTTTAATTATTTAAATTATTTTCTTCTGATTTATGCATTTAGAATAGTTAGTAAAATCACGAGACACGTTTTTTAAACAAACGAATAAAATTGACAGAAAAAATAAGACAAATAAAACAACTAACATTAAATATTATTAAAATATAAATTATTTTTGTTATTATCATATTTTCTTTTTGTTATAAAATAAATATCTGAAACATTTTATAATTAAAAAAAGAAAAAAAGCTTTTAGATGAATTAATATAACATTTATATTTTAAATAGAGGTTATTTTCGTATTACTTTTTATCAAAGATGGCAGCCACCCATTAATATCATCGTATGTTTAAACAAGCAAAAATAATGAAAAAAAAAAAAACATCATAAAACTAATAATAAAAATAGCAGATAATATCCAAGATTAATTAATTAATTGAACATTGCTAAATTTGTACGCTGATCGATGCGTCAATGTAACGTAGGTGGCGTGTTTTATCTAGGGATATTTAGTGACTAATAAGCGTGTATACAGGGATTTATCAATACTACATGTAAAGAGTAATTCACCTTTTGAGGTTAACAACAAAGTAAAATCCATGAGAGAATCTTTTGTAAAAAGATTCCTAAATTTCAATGTACGATTCACACACATAGACAGTAAATTATTACAACATTTATATAAATAATAATTATTATCAATTATATTCGGAAAGTTTCATATTAATTTTTATCAAAGATGGCTACCATCATCCATTAATATAAAAAAACCAATCAAAAACAAATAAAAAACATCCAACAAAAATATATTAAAATACAATGCAACAAATATCAAATATTAATTAATTAAACACTTATGAATAATAATAATTATTATAATAATTATTATTATTATTAATTGTGTCAGTTATTTTCGTATGTTATTTTATATTTTATGGGGTATTAAAAAAAAGGTATAGAGCCAGTACTGTCATAGAATGTTTGAACAAAAACGATCGATAGTGTTTCTCACTTGTCTTTTATATTTTCACGATAGGAAAAGAAAGATGGATAGATAGATAGATAGATAGAAAGAGAGAGAGAGAGAGAGAGAGAGAGAGAGAGAAAGGGATAGAGAAGGAAAAAAATGGTGGAACTTGAGATAGAAGGAGAGAAAGGTAAAGAGCAGGAAGCTAACTAGAACATAGTAGTGTGTAAAGGACAAATGTGACTCACCCTAGCTTTTTCAAGTTGATTAAGGGCCTGCCTCTCTTTTTCACGTCTTATGTTTTCTTTCTCCTCGTCCAGCGAGAGATCCGAGCTCGGCTGTGAGTAGTTTGAATCTGCCGAGCCCTAGAAAAATAACAAAAAAAAAAAAGAAACCAAAAATTATCACCATCCTCAACAACAAGCCATCAACATTTAATTCTAATTAATTAGTTATCTAATATTATATATAATATTATTAGTAGTATATAATATAATTATTAATTAATTAAATATTTAATAATATTGATCGTTAGAAAAATTATTATTGTTGTAAAATAAGATATTATATTTATTTAAAAAATATTTCAATAAAAAAAAGTGATTTTTTTTAGTTTGTTTTAACTCTAATATTGAAATATGGTTTTTATGGTAAAAAGATTAAGTATTTAAAAAGAAAAAACTAAATTTGAAATAATTGAATATAAAAATAATTTATCAAATTTGTTTTTCCTTACCATTTGAACTAATAAATAATTAAATTTTGAATGCGTATGAGTGATTAATAATAACAATATTTATTTATGAAAATATATATTTGGAATTTTTTGAAGTTACGAAGAAACAAATCCAATAAGAATATTTTGATTTATTTTCCTATAGAAAAAAGACAAAAAAGAAAATACACATAGGAGATACGAACTAGTAGAAACTATAGGACAAAAAAAAGTAGTGATAGTAGTAGTAATAGTAGTAGTATAGAAATATTATAGTCAGATAAAAGAAAATACACTTTTCAACAAGAATATACGATATCTCATAGTATACTGAATTACAATCAAACATAAATCTCATCTGTCAACGTTTATATTTTTTTTTCCCCAAACTTAATTTACATTATATATATATATATATATATATTAATATATTATTTTTATTAAATATTCATCCTCATAAAACCTAAAAATGTCATAAAATATTTTTTTTCTTAATTAAATTCCATCCCCTTCCCTTCTTACAATGACATTACAGATTGATCAAATAAAAACGTGATCAATAATAATATTCCCATACCATATGATAAAAAAATCTCATCCAAGTGATAAAAAAAAAAAAATGAAGTAAGAACTTCTGAAGGTCATTGTATATATTAAAAATAATTCAGAAAAATGTGACAATAAAAATGCTGATAAGATTCTTAACTTAAGATGAATTACATGAAAAGTATTAAACAAACAAATAAATAAAAAGAAAAGATTGTAAAAGAAATCGTAATCGTCTTGGTTACCATGAGACGTAGGAGCTTTTCCATAGAACGAATTCACTCGGTCGGGGGGTCGTAGTCATGCCAACGGCCTTTGCTTACCCTCGCATACCCACCCCTATAACTAGTTCCTCTGTATTTCACGTGTACATGTGTCTCCTTTATGGTTTCGACAGACCACCACATCACACCACACCATAGAAGAGACCCATATACTACTACTACATATTAGATAGAAACCAAGCAACCCTTCTCTTCCCTTCCACAGTTAACTTCTCTCCTATTCACCCCCCCCATCCTCACCTTATAGAATGGAACGTAAGCAATTTCTGCATTCGTATGCGTTGAAATATTCGATGGAGATACTTGAATGAAAATAACTGTGCTATTTATGTATTTGTTTATATTTTTTATGTATCTGTGTGTGTGTGTGTGTATGTGTGTGATTTTTGTTTATGTATTTAAAAAATAAGGGTAGAATTTTGATGTATAGAAAAATTTGAACGATCTTCGAATGTTGTGTTGAATGTTTGTGTTTGATTAAATATACTTCATATTGATAAACATACTTCAAATAAGTTTCTAATAAAGGTTTAAATATTTTGGTATTTATTTATTGATAGTGTAAATTATTTATTTAAAAATAATTGTGTTAAATTGGTCAATGAGTTGCATTGAAATCATTCGAAATTTCTTATAATTTTAATCTGAAGATTATATATTTTTATATTATAATAAATAAAATTTAAAAAAAAAGGGAGAAAAAAGATTGTTTTTAGACGTCAAAAGGGTTATCTCAAGGGCAAGTAAAAAATAAAAAAAAAATATATGAAGAAAATGGATAGAAATATATTTTACAATGTATTGGCAAAGTGCATAATAAAACTTGTCGCACAATTTAAACGCGCTTGATAAAGCAAACACCAATAGAGCTGTTATACACCGTATGATAAAGGAGAGAAAAAAAAACGTTAAGGATATAAAGGATTTCAAGTTTGTTATGCATTTTAATCATGCTTCGTAGGTTTTAATTTTACGCAAGGAAGACTTGATCAACGTGTGTCTAATTTTATATTATAATAATTATCGATCGAAATTGTATGCGTTCTATTAAAATAGACAAAATATACAATTGTTTATATGTCGTATTATTTTTTTCACGTTTAACAATATCATATTAAATATATAACAAATATTTTTAACAAACGAAATCCATTTTTTTATCAAATCATTCAAATCAATTGAATAATTTAACAATTACGATTATTTAATTAAAAAATAACTACGAAACAAAACAATGCAATTGGTGCAATTGATTCGTATGTTCAATAATTTGTTTATTTATTTTTGAGGGTTATCCTACTTGTTTTTTATATATTACAAATCCTAGTAATTCATTAATTAATTAATTAACAAATTGTAAAATTATTATATCGTTGTAAATATAATTTCCATATGTTTGGTATATCTGAACGAGTTTCATTGAAATGTGATTTCAATGTACTTCAATATAATTTCAATTAATTTCAATTTATTTCAATTAATATTGCAATAAAATATAATACCTGAGTGAACAGCTTGTTGTAGCCCGAATTGTGCTGATTGTATCCGATCATCGCCAACGTAATCGACGAGGCTTCGATCTTTTCCACTCGTCGTAGCACAATTGAAGAGAAACAAAATAAAAAAAAGCCACACAAAAAAATCCCCGTTTCCCCCCACCTCCTCCGCCCCCTCCACGACACAACCCCCCACCCTTTTTGATGCGCCTACGTTGAAACGACAAAAGATAACGCAAAAGATAATGCGACAAGATGAATTAAATTAAAATTCACGCATTCTTCTAATGCTACCGCATTGCGTTTTGCTTTTGTGTTTGTTTGGTTGTAGTGTTTTTTATTGTTTTCGTTTTAGAGAGGGGGTAGACAGCGATGTCAGCGGTAGCAGCGGCAAAATAAAATTGTTCAACTCGATGAAGAAGGAGGGGGAAGGTGGAATTTGATTGGTGAGCAAATTACGCGCACAATTTTGTATGTCTTCCCCCTCTACTCCGATGTTGCTACGTCATTTTGATGAGATTTGATGAGATTTGTCTCGTTCGTTTTGTTTCCTTTTCTTGTCTTCTTTTTTTTAATGATTATTGAATAATTGATACGTCAATTAATTAATTAATTCGTTGGTTTATGTATTTTTAACACTTTGCTGGATGATGCTTCAACTTTTTACGCTTCCTTTTGCAAGCCATTCAAAATTTATGTCACTCGTAATGATATTTCATTTCCTTTTTTAAGTTTTATCTTATTAACATTGTCCACTTGTTATTCGTTGATGACATTGCTTTTTTTTCGTTTACCCTGTTTCGATAAGTACACGCATGGTTAATTAAATAATTAATTAAAAAAAACAAAATGAGTTACTTAAAAAACAAATCGCGCGTTGACATTTATTTGTTTGTTTGTTTGTTGTTTCTTTCTGTTTTTTTTTTTTTTTTTTTTTTTTTTTATGAGAACACCAGTGAATCGTTATTTCTTTTTTTTAGTCTAAAAATTATTTTATTGGAGAGAAGGAATGGGGGAAATCAAACTGTGCTTTGCGTAGTCAATCGTAAACGTCTCTAACGCTCATTTCTTTTTCTTTCACTTTATTTTTTTCCTTTAACCTGTCACCACGTTTACCCTCGAAAGAAACTCACACAACAGAGGACAAACACCAATTTAGATTTATGTCGGGTTAGAAGGGTGCCACGGTGACGCCTGTTTATCTGTAAACCCTTCCCATTCTTCTCAACCATAAAATTCCTACGATGTATATAAAAAAAAAAAAATGAGTTACAATAAATTAGGAATCATTAAAATATTTTTAGAAAATCATCACAACGAAAGATTTACAATTTTAAATTCGAATTTGTGCTGACATTTTAACGAAACATTTCCCCTACTACCACTACCAGTACCTAACCTCAAACTTAAACACCATGCGTGAAACAAGAAAAACAAAAACCGATATCGAAAGATTTGTTTAAAATATAATATTTTGATTTAAAAATGAACAAAAAAAATGATCTTCGATCTATCTTAGTAGTAGTAGTAGTAGTAGTATTAGATCATTACATCAACGTTATCTTGGAAATCAAGATAGAGTTGGCGTGTGTTAAACGAAGGACGAAAGAAAAATGAAATTAAAGTAGCAGTGAGGAGAATAGAGGAGAGTAGAGGAGAGGTAAGGTAATAATATCATCGTCACGCGAATCCCTGATCGCTTGGCCTGGATAATTAATTAATTCTATGGGAAAACAACAGACTTACTCACTCATGCACGCATACAAACAAACACACAAGTATCTTTATTCTTCTAAGCTCACAAATATACACATTTAATTATTCCACTTGATCGATAACAATTAAATTAACCCTAATCCAAAGAAAAAAGAAAACAATTTAATTAACTCTTGAACAATAGTAAAAACAAACAAACAAAAACAAGCAACCCCCTAAAGATTCATGGTAATATCATGGTAATTGGATTGTTTCAAAGAAGACAAATCGATTAATAAAGAAACCAATTGTAAAATAAAGTCAGACACACAAAAGAGACAACATTGCACTTGGACTGACTGACTGATTGACTGACTGAGTGACTGAGTGATCTGATCAGAGAATCGCAGCAGACGTCGAAAGAGCTAAAAGGGCGCCTCGAATAAGAGAGGTGCATAGACATCCGGAAAGGGGTCAACGACACAGTGCCATCGTACTACTCCTACCCTCCCTCTCTCTCTCTCTCTCTCTCTTTCTATGAACTTTAGTTAGCACGTTGCCCTTACAACAGTAGTAGTAGTAGTAGTAGTAGTAGTAGTAGTAGTAGTAGTAGTAGTATTAGTCAATGATTCACCAGCGTTCTCAACAAAAGATCTTTACAAACCCCGTCATTTATCAACAACACTCTGATTAAAAATCATTTTGATAAATACAAATGATTAGAAACAACAACAATAACAATAACAATAACAGTTGACAAAAATATCACGGCTAATTAATTAATGAGATTACCCAATTGATTAATGAAATGTTAGGTGATAGATGATGTATGTATGTGTATATATAATTGAAATAATATTTTAAACAAGACAGGAGAAACAATGATTACAGTGGAACCGAACAGACGACTGTTTCTTCGCGTACTGAGTGAGTTACTCTGAAAGACGAGAGACACACGAGCTCTGTTAGATCAGTGCCACCACCGCCGTCACCTCTGCCGCCGCCGCCGTCGCCGGCTCGTTATTTTACCACCACCAACAATTCACCATGTATAAATAATAATAGTGATACCAACACACTAAAGCATTGAACCTACCACTAGCCAACATCAACACCAACACCAACAATTATCATGTTAAAGTAATAATAATGATACCAACACTAGAAAACTGAACTACCAATACCAACAATCACCTAATAAAAGTAGTAATAGTGATACCAACACCAAAAACTAAACTAACACTAGCCAACACCAACACCAACATCAGACAACGTGGATTTCGTTCTTCCTGACAAGGGTCGGTGGCGCTTTGATACATCTTTTTCATATATATGTTTATATATATATATGTACATTGACTGGTGGTGGGTTCACGATTCCACCACTGTGCGGCGTTACTTACTGACGAAGCCAGACGACACCCCCGTAACTATATCGATCCACAACCCCTTCCTTCTTACCCCTCTTAAAATCCAACCACCCTTCTTCTTCTTCTTCTTCGTCTTCTTCTTCTACTTCCCCCTTTCCTTCAGAAGACTCTCCAGGCCACTGCACTCAACGACTTGTCTTCTTTCTTTACACTTTCTATATTCTTCGTAATCTTAACTGAAGGTTTTTCTTTCTTTTTTTTTTATATAAACGATCTATAGATCGTATAGATCTTCAGGGGGTGAGGGGTATTATTGTCCATTATTATTATTTTAAGATTTGTGAATGTTGATCAAAAGTTTGATCAAATTTCTATAGATCATATTTTTTATATACAGTATAATAAGTATAATAGTTTAGTTGTAAAAGACTATGATGATAAAATAATGTATTTAATTAAACATTTTTATATAGTTAACAAGTATCAAAAATCTCAACGAACGTAAATCCTTAATTGAAGTTTTCAAAATGGATTGAACATGTGAAAGAAACTGTAAATAACAAAAAAACAGTAAAGTTGTTAAACGAATACAGGTATAAGAGAAGAGTTGGAACAAGAGAGAGTCGAACGGTTAACATCAATTATGAATAAGGAAAAATCGATATAACGTAAATAATAAAAAATGACGTGAAAGACAAGGATGAAAGAAGTGTAGAAACCCAACAAACGAGAAAGAAAGAAAGAGGTTTTACTTGTTAGAAAAAATTATTTTATCTCAATAATGCTTTTATTTTTTTTTTACCCCTTCCCTTCCCCACGTTATCATTGAACATTCTTTAAATAAAATCAATTAAACAATACTTAATTAACTAACAGTTAACATGCGAAAGAAGAATAACGTGAAAGAATTGTAGCAACCCTACAAATGAAAGAGAGGTTAGGTTTAATGTTTAGAAAAAATTATTCTGTCTCAACATTGTTTTTATGTCTTTTATCCCCTACCTCCCCTTTCCCCTCCATTTTATTATTACACTTTCATTGGGTTAAGATCGTTGAAATAATTTTTGAAATGAACTTAAGCATGCAAAGGGATAAAAACGTTCGTCAACAAAGGGTGCAGTAGTCTTCCTCGTGGGCCGATGTAGGGCCACGTTGTATAAGTTTCCTTGAAATATAGGTCGAGTTATGTAGGTCGAACTAGGGTGCGTACGCGTCTACGATTCCTCCCTACTACCCTTTACCCTCATCATCCCCCTTTCTCCCACCTACAAAACCCATTCTCTCTTTCTCACATTTACACACACACACACACATACACACACACACACACTGTTGTATAGTGTAGTAGACTTTGTATAACCTTCGACAAAGTGTTCAAAGTAAATCAACCAGGGTACAAGTTATATACAACTTAATTGGATTTAATTCTTTCTAAGACTTCTAGAATTCTAAAGAAATTATTCGTTTGATTTGTTGTTCATTAATTATTAAATAAATCTGTTGAAAAGTAAAATGATGGAAAATTTGTAAGATATAATTTCAAAATTGTTTTATATCAAAATATTTCCGCATCGTTGATTTTATTATCTTAGATACTTGAAACAATTTAGAAAGAAAACTTGGCTACAACCATGATTTCACGAAGGACATTAAATAGGTTATTTTTGGACTCATTTAATAGATATTAATGAATTTCAAAATGGTATTCGCGTATGAGTCACAATGTAATAATAATTAGATTTTATTTTTAGAAGAAAAAGATGAGAATGTGTCTAAATTTTGATTTATGATTAGTTAATTCAAATTTATGCGTTTAGATTTCATTTTGTAAGAAAATCTTTGGGAAAAATTTCACGTGAAATATCATTTCGAATAAATTTCAGGTGACTGTTAAGGTTATGTTAAAATTCTTCGCATAGTTTTCAAATGTTTTTTCATTGTTTTCTACGTAAGATTTTTGAAAATAATTTTTATTAATAATAACAATCTAAATTATTATGCACAAATTTCGTATTATACAAACAAATATTTTAGAATATAATTTAAATAATTATGCGAATAATTTCAATGTTAAAATATTGAGAAAGATTTTTGATTTACTATTCTGAAAAAAAAAAAAATACATTTGCAATTCAAATAAACTTTTGTTATAAAAAAAAAAAAAGAAACAAAAACATAACCATTAAATAGAAAGAAAGTAGTAAAAAGTAAAACAGAAGCAAAAATTGATTGAAAATTATTGGATGAATGATAAAAAGTATGGTTTAAAAAATTGATAAATAATATTATGACAAAAAAATTAATTATTTAATATAAATAATAATTTCGTTTACCTTTCTTCTCCCAAAAGCTTTGTAATGTTCACGTCTCATTGGTTTTCTTAGATGCGCCATTTCCCAAGTAGAATTTTTGTCGACGAAAAAAAAAAACAACAAAACTCTCTTGCTCTTGTTATTATAATAATAATGAAATAAATAAACAAAATTTGAAGACAAAAAAGAAAAATAATATAAATCAAATAATTGATAAATAAAATGAAATGACAGATAGGAAAATTGAATGATTTGTTTTTTGAAATAAATTTGTCATATATGTTTGAAAACAATTAGTATGTTGAACTTGTGAATTGGTGCACACCTAAACAAATGAGAGTTTTCGTCAGCTTCGCGAGTCCAATGACTTCCGGCACGAGCTTCTTTCACCGCGAATTCTAATTCTCGGCGGCATTTAGCGTCTCTTTTTTTTTTGTTGTTTTTTGTTTTTTATTTTGTATTTTCACTTTTTATATTCACACATTTCACGTTTGTTTCCTTCTTCTTCTTTTTTTTTTTTAAAAAGAAAACACTCACAAGAATTGTTTCGTTTATATTCGTTCGTTTATTGATTGATTTTTATTTTTATTTTTATTTTATTTTATTTTTTTTTTTTTTAAATATATTTTTCAACAATATTTTGCACCAGATTAGGTAGGTGGATGGGTGGGTTTTCTTTTATATTAACATAAAAAATATTATTGTAGTTTTTTTTGGTATTTAAATGTATGTATTGGAGTATTATTTGAGGTTAGTTTTATGCTTTGAAGTGAATTATTTGTTTAGTAATCAAAAATAGTAAAAATATTGGAATATGATTTTTATATTCCTATTGGTTTTTTTTTTTGTTTATGTTAAAATAAATTTCCTTTGCCAATATAAAAATATTGCAATATTTTAATATCATATTTTGCATTGAAATTAATTTCATTTTTAATATAAAAAAAAAAAACATATTGCAATTACTTTCAGAAAACTATCTTATTTATAATTAAAAAAAAATAAGAAGAAATAAAATTCCAATATTGTTAAGATTAATTTTTTTGTTTTTTTTTATTTATATCAGAAAATGTTTAATTAGAAATCAAATCAAATCGAAACGTCAAACGTTGACAGTGGTGATTCTAATCACTGCAAATGATTACCCCTAATGAAATATAGAAATTATAAGAAGAAATAATTAAAAAAAAAATTAAGAAAAAAATAAATAAATTAATTAATGAGTTGTTTAGTTTAATCGACCGATCTTTGGATCGATGCCTGAAAACCGAGTGTAACAATTCTCGTGACGTCTTTACGAGAGAATATATCCGCCGACTTGTTAAATCTTTAGCCCTGGCCTTGGCTGACGAATACCACAAGTCTTTTCTTTTTCTTTTCTTTTTTTTCTCTCTCTCCTAGATACTCCTCATATTCCAGACAAAATTTTGCTAACGTAAACACACGAGATATAGTTTTCAAACGAGTACAAAAATCGTTCGATCAAAACCACGATACATTTTTTAAGATGAAAATTTCAAATTGTTCGATATAATCATCAATGAAATTAAAAACGAAATTAAATATTCAATTGAACAATCTATAGATCTGTGATAATTATAATCAAATTTGTTCAAATTATTATTTAATAAATTAATGATATTTAATGATAATTATTCGTTATAAATATTATATTTCGCGTTATATAATCGAGTAATATGAACATGATCTTGAGTAATAAAATATTTGTTATAAATTTAAGAAAGAATAAAATTGTTTAATAGTTCTGTTAAAAAAAAAAAAAAATATAAAAAATAAAATTAAAAAAAGGTAGTAAACAAAACGACACGTTATCGATTTTAAATGTATAGGACAAAATAAATAAAAAGAAGTGAAGATGATGATAATCGTGTCGTTTAGTTTTGTTAGAAAAGTTTAGTGTTTCTTTTTTTTTTTTTCATTTACGTAAAAAAAAAAAAAAAAAATAAAAAATCAGCTTCAATTTTTCACGAATTTTTTTTTTTTTTTTTAAATCTATCTCACGTTTTCACTACTCACATAACACTAATTCACTAATATAACAACAGGTATTTAAATACAATGATGTATATATGTTTGTTTGTTTGTTTGTTTTTTTAATATTTCAATTAATAACACGTTGGATGATTAGGAAAAATGTGATTTAAAAAAAAAAAAAAAACAATATTGATGTTTCATAAAGAATAAGACGATTAATAAGCGCGTTTTCTCTCGCGAGATACTGTCGAAAGAAAGAAAGAAGCTTTTGGAACGCACCACGACCTCCTCCGCTATAAATAAAACGTCGGCGGCCACATCGAGAATTTTGCTAGCCAGCCAGCCAGCCAGCCAGCCAGCAAGCAAGCAAGCAACAACAGTAGCAGAAACAACAGTTTCAATTCGTTTGATTTGTAAGTCTTCCCTTTTTTAATGATCCTTGTCGTGATTCATAAATAATCTCAATTATTTTAACATCTTATAATTAAAAGACTAAATTAAATAGACCAAAAACTTCCTGTAACTTTGATCATTTGTTTATTAATCAAATTAAATTTGATCATTCCATCATCCTTTGTTTTTTGTTGTTGTAATTTTCTTGATGATTTATAAAATTGTTTTCATTTAGTTGTAATTTTAAAATGAACAAACACAAGATTTATATCAATATGTGTCATTTTTATTTAATAATTTAATTATTTTCTTTTTATGTATGTATTTTTTTAAGAAAAATATAATTGTTTAATTTGTATAATAATTTGTTGTACATCTATGCAAAAAGAAAATAAATAGTTTGAAATATGAGATTTAAATATATCGACTGTCAGTAAGAGTTTATCTATCTATGATAAGATGTTTTCTGTTTTATCGATCGACGATAAGTTTCTTTATTACCAACGTTCGATAATATCGTTTATCCAGTCGATAAAATAGAATTGTGTATGGTTATCACAATGAGCTTGCAATGAGCTTGCAATGATCACCTCCAATAACAAATTACATGTATAATTGATCAAATTCGTAGCAAATTAATAATATTATAATAATTAATTGTCCTAAACCCCAAATAAAAGCTGTGGAGGGTTCAAGGGTGAGGCTAGCAACCTAGCCTTAATAAAAAAAAATACAATCGCTACCAAAATAACCCTCACAGCCTCTTTAGGCTGTTTAGTTTATGGATAACAAGAAGACATCATAAAAAGAAGATAATAATTATTAAAAATATTTTCATATGATTAACAAATAATATCGATAGCTAATTGAATTAAGAATATTCCAAGTTATTGTTATAACAATTATTATTCATATAAGAATAAATTTAAATAGTTTATACAAATGTGCTTATATATTTCATTGCAACACACAGTTTCACGATTCGCGAATGTAGGAAACTTTTTTTAACGAGTCCAAGGCAATAATTTAGAATTCTTCTTTATCAAAAAAAAAAAAAAAAAAAACAAACAAATAAATTTAAATATAAAATATATACGTGTATCGAACCATCATCAATTAAATTTGTTTCTTTTTTCTCTTTCAAATCTTCCAATAAATTTCAAAAAAAAAAAAACATTTAAGATGATTCGTACAAAATAAAAAAAATACGATTCTTGATCTTGCGATTAACTTTTTGATAAATCATTTTAAAAAAATAAAAGAAACGATGTAAACGAAGATGAAAGAAAATTATTTTATGAATAATTTGGAAATGGAAAGTAAATGAGTTCATTTTACAGTAAAAGAATGGAAAGAATTATTACGAATAATAATATGACTAATGTAAAAATGGCTCAAACGAACGACAGATGGCGAACGACATTCCTAAAACTATTAACTTGAAACTGAACTCTTACATACCCACTTATATTCAAAGAAAGAAAGAAAGAAAGAAGAAAAGTAAAATTAAAATATCGAAATCCATCCAAATAAATTATTTTCATCGAAAGAAGAATTATTATAAAAAAAAAAAAAAAAAAATTAAAAAAAATTAAACTCTTTCTTAAAACACGTACGTAAATGCATACTAAAATTCGGGTTTTTTTTTTTTTTTATATATATATATATATATATAAATGATATAAAATTCATGCAAATAAATTTAATCTCTTCATGGGTGAACGTAAATGCAAATGAAAAAGAGAGAGAGAAAAAGAAACGGATAAATAATTTGAATATTATATTTATTTAAATAAATTATGTTGTAGAAAGAGAGAGAGAGAGAGAGAGAGTGAGAGAGATAAACCAGACATGTAATAAACACGTTAAATGATTTTTTAGTTATGCGTGTAAGTTATATTATAAAGACGTTGATATTCAATTACAAACGAATCAAAGAGCCGGTTTAAACTTACGATCTTGTTTACGATATATTATTAATATGTAGGATCGAATGGTATGTATTATAATGTCGACAGGAGATGACCTTGAACTAACATCGACGACGTTAGCGATATAGCAAATCATGAAGGCGAATTAGATTCAATCGAACGATTAACAACAACCACAGACAGCTTCGTTCGTGTTCACGAGGTAGACTCGATTACCTCGAGAAAACACCAACTATAAATTAATATATACATATATATTACAATTTACATATATGTGTATTTAAATATTTAACTATTGTTTGTAAATTATTTTTTTTTTTTTTTCATTTGTAATATGACTAATATAAATGAAATATTAATTTATTGTTAGATATATTATTGGATTGTCAACTGTTAATAATGTTGTGTACTATATATATATTACAATTAACATATAGGTGTATTTAAATATTTAACTATTGTTTGTAAATTATTATTTTTTTTTTCATTTGTAATATGACTAATATAAATAAAATATTAATTTATTGTTAGATATAGTATTGGATTGTCAACTGTTAATAATGTTGTGTACTATATATATATTACAATTAACATATAGGTGTATTTAAATATTTAACTATTGTTTGTAAATTATTTTTTTTTTCATTTGTAATATATGATTAATATAAATAAAATATTAATTTATTGTTAGATATATTATTGGATTGTCAACTGTTAATAATGTTTTATTATAAATTTGTCAAATTAATGGCAATTTACAATTTAGATAAATTGATGGATAGAGACTACATATGTGAATAACAATTTATTGAAAATTATATAAATAATTTCTATATTTGTATAATAAGAAATTAATATACCGTTTGACATAATCTATACGTAAAAATAAAAAGAAGATTCTAATGAATATAATACTATTAATAATTTAAAATTGATAATTAGTATAAATATATAATTAATTATGGAATATTAAAGTAAAGTTATTATATTTAGCATAAATAATAACGAATAATGCAAATGAATATTTAATATTATAATTTAATTTAAATTTCATTTCGCGTTTGAATCGATGAACGCCATGATTTCCAAAAAAAAAAAAAAATGAAAAATATAATAAAACTGGAAACAAAATTATATTATCTTTCAATGATTTATTAATTATTTAACAAATTTATTAAATTGTTAAATAATATAAATTTACGATAAAATAATATTTTGTATTAATAATTCGTTAAAATTCTCGTGAATTGAAGCAGAAATGAAGAAAAATGTTGTGAAAAAACATTTGTTTTTGAAATCCTATATCTTCTCTTTTCCATATTTTTTTTTTTTTTTTTTTGTAAATTTATTTATTCCATGTCATAACGAGAGTGTCTGGTACTGGCATGTAGAAGATTATTACGAACAAGACAACGAGACACACGTGCATTCCGTTTATACTCGGAGTTTAGCCAATAATTACGATCAGTAGAGGCCATTGCACTAACATAAATAACTAGACGTACTATTAACTAACACAAATCATATCCGTATATTATTATTATTATTATTATTATTATTAACTAATATATTGGAATATTTCTAATTCCTTGAAACCATTTAAAAACAATAATGATTACAAAAATTTTAATTAAGTACGATTTAATTGTGATCTTTCTAAATTAAATCAATAATTGCATTTTTTAACATATTATTTAAAATATTTAATAAAATTAATTAATTAGGAACTTTTAAGTTGTTTTTTTTTTTTTTTAAGTATTAGATAAAGTATATATATTTTTATTATATTTATATTACTTTAATTAGTTTTTGTTTAAATATGAACAAATCTTGACTTAACCTTAACAAAAACTATGATCTAATATTTAAAAAATTATAACCAAATTTTGCATCCTTTCTACATTTTATTCTATTTTATTTTTATTTTAATATATATATATATATATTCCACGAGGGTATAAATAATTATTATATTATTACATTATGTATTTTATTTTATTTTATTTTCCATTTTTTTTTTTAATTTAATTTAATTTTATTCAATTTTGTATTTTTTTTTTAAATTAATTTTATTTGATTTGATTTAATTTTGTATTTTTTTTTTTAATTTAATTTAATTTTATTTTATTTTAATTTGGTATTTTATTTTATTTTATATTATTTTATTATCTAATATTAAATAATAAAAACATTTAATAAATATTGATATACATAACAAAAATAAATTAGATTGAAATATATTTAAAAAAAAAAAAATTGTATAAAAATGAGTTTTAATTGTAAACAAAACAAAAACAAAACTAATAAGATAATAAAGTATATTTTGAAAGGATAATATTCATAGTTAGAAGAATCATGAAAAATAAGGGAAACGAAACTATACAGCGATTAGGCACGTCGTTTATCCAACGATATAACCATTCATTTCTATGAGAGGATTATAATCGTGTGGCCTCACGCTTCTGGCCTATGTAAAAGTAAGTACAAGCAACTGCGCATGCTTGAGCATCGAATGTACCCACATACTTACACATATACATACATATATGTATATATAAATACATATAAACATGGATACATATATCCAGCTTTCTCTTTTTATAGCCCTCTAAGCATCGACCCCACCTCCCATCACGAGTTTCATATATACAAAAGCATAACCGATATTCTTTATACATAAATGCATACACACATGTATGTATGATGTATTTAAATGTACGTATATGCATCCATACATGTGTAAACTCCCCATCACGTGGTAAATGAGAACTCACGCATTGCGAGTTAAGCAAACGAAATCAAATATTAATTTATAATGAATATTTTATATATATATATATATATATATTCAGAGATTTATAATATTTAATACATATTAATAACTTTTATTAATATTTTCATTTATATTGCATTTTATTTTCTTTTGTACTTTTTTTTTTTTTTTTTAATTATTTA